ACACTAACAAATGGAAACTCATCCCATGCTCTTGGCTAGGAAGAATTAATATCATCAAAATGGCCATCCTGCCCAAAGCAATATACAGATTTGATGCAATCTTTATCAAATTACCAACAACATTCTTTAATGAACTAGAACAAATGGTTCAAAAATTCATATGGAAACACCAAAGACCCCAAATAGCCAAAGCAATCCTGAGAATCCCCAACTTCAAGCTCTACTACAAAGCCACATTAATCAAGACAGTTTGGTACTGGCACAAGAACAGAGCCACAGACCAGTGGAACTGAATAGAGACTCCAGACATTAACCCAAACATATATGGTCAATTAATATACAATAAAGGAGCCATGGACATGATACTTCTGATACAGCACAAATACTATATAAATAAAAGAGAAAGCGCACAAAGCATCTGAATTCATAAAGATCTGAACCCAAGACTTAGGCTGCAGTGCACTGCCTTGTAGCCTTAATCTTCATAAACTTGGATTAGGCAATGGTTTCTTACATATGACACCTCAAGTGAAAGTCACCAAAGAAAAAAAAAATTCAACATAATCAAAATTTAAAACTTCTGTGCTTCAAAGAGCACTATTGAGAAGGTGAAAAGGAAAAGCCACATATTGAGAGAAAATATTTATATATCACATACACAATACTTCACTTGTCAAAGAACGTTATATAATGTTTAGAGATTTAGACCTGTTTTCTCCTCCATCAAATCATGATAACAGCACCTGCCTTATAACACTGCTGTTTAGATTAATGAAGTAATGCACATAAAGAGCTCAGCTTAGTGCCTGCCATGTATCAAGTGGTCTGTGAATATCAGGTGCTATTACTGTTATTTAAGATTGTTGATAACGAAAGACTTACACAAAGCTGTCAAGGATTTGGAGATATTGTTCTCTCATATATTGCGAGAAATTTCTGGACAGCATCTTGGACCTGGGGAAATTGGAATGCCCGTGTGCCCTCAAAAAACATTACACCCAGGGATTCTACTTCTAGAAATTTATCCTAAAGAGCTAATTAAATAAAGGATTATAGCAAGTATTTCCATTAAAAGTGTTCATAATAGCAAACAATGGACACAACCTAAATATTTATATATGATATGCCATTAATTTAAAATGAGCTTACAGCAAAGAAAAATTAGGTTGTAAAAGATTATTTATTGGTATGAAAAAAAAATTTTTTGGAAATTTCAGTTAGGTGGGGAGAAGTTATGTATGTGTATTCTAATGCCTTCTTAAAAAGTATTCTATAGCAATATATAGGGAGAAAAGGAGTCTGGAGACAGATAATCTAAATCTTTCATACAGCAGCTAATTTGAATTTTCTTCAGTGTTTTTTGTTTCTACAATAAATATACATAACTTGTGGAATAATTACTTTTGCTTTTGCTTTTTAAAATAACATTAGATATGCACTGAACACTCACTATTTTTAATTCTTACTCTCCTTGTAGGGCTTATCACCAATTTGCCATAAATATCCTATCGCTACCTTGTTTATAAAATCTTATGTAAAGAAGTGCATAGAAGAGGTAAATAAGGAAATTGACAACTTGAACAACACTAAACCAACTAGATCTAACAGACATATTTAGAACACTTCACCCAAAAACAGTGGAATACACATTCTTCTCAAATGTACATGGAAAATTCTCCAGGATAAAACATATATTATAGACATATATCAAATATAAAACAAGTCTCAATAATTTAAAAAACATACAAAGTTATCTTCTTGAGTCACAATGGAATGGAACTAGAAATCAAAAACAAAAGGAAAACTGAAAAATTCATAAATTTATGAAAATTAAACTACACATTCGCAAGCCACCAACAGATCAAAGAACCAATCACAAAGGAAATTAGAAACTACTTTGAGCTAAATGGGAACAAAAACACAACATAGTAAAACTTATGAGATGCAGTGAAAGTAGTGATCAGAGAGAAATTTATAACCTACATTAAAAAAGAATAAAGATCTCATATAAATAACCTAACTCTCTGGGCCTTAAGGAACTAGAAAAAGAATAAGAAACTAAGTCCAGAGCTAACAGAAGAAAGGAAAAAATAAAGAGTAGAGTGACAATAAACAAAACACAGAATAGAAAAATAATTGAGAAAAATCAGTGAAACCAAATGCTAGTTCATTGAAAATATCAACAAAATTGACAAACGTATAGCTACACTGACAGAAAAAGGAGAAAACTAAACTCAGAAATGCAAGTGGCAACATTACTACTAACCTTACAGATAAAAAAAAGATTGTAAGAGAATACTAGGAACACCCATATGCCAACAAACTAGATAACCTGGATGAAATGGACAAATTCTTAGAAACTTACAAATAATTAAAACTGACCCAAGAACAGAAAATCTGAACAGAACTATAACATGTAAAAAGACTGAATCAGTAATCAAAAATCTCCCAACAAAGAAAAGTCTAGTAGCAGATGGCTTCACTGGTTAATTCTACCAAACAGTTAAAGAAGAATTAATGCTAATCCTTTTCAAACTCTTCCACAAAATAGATGAGAAAGGAAAACTTCCTAACTCATTCTAGCATTTCCATGATACAAAAGCCAAAGATATCGTAAGAAAATAAAACTGCAGGCCAGTAGTCTTACCACACTTATAAACAGTGACTGCAATAGGGGAGGTGAGGACTTGATAATATGGGTGAATGTTAAAACCACAATGTTGTTCATGTGGAACCTTCATAAGATTGTATATCAATGATACTTTAAAAAAAAGAATTAAACACGCACACACACATACAAAAAAACTGCAGGCCAGTATCTCTCACAAATAAAGATGCAAAAATACTCAACATACTCAACAAAATACTAGCAAACCAAATCCAGCAGCATATTTAAAAGGATTATATACCTTTTATATCCTAGGAATGCAAGGGTCATTCAATCAGTACATGAAAATCAACCAATGTAATATTACATATTAATAGAATGAAAAGGGAAGAAAAAAAATGATTCTTTTAATAGGTACAGAAAAGCACTTAGCAAAATTCAACACACTTTCATGCTAAAAGATATTGAACAAACCAGGAAAAGAAGGAAACTTCCTCAATATGAGTAAGTGCCTTTATATAAAAAGTAGAAAAGTAACATCATATGCAATGGTGAAAGACAGGAAGCTTTCCTCTATGACTAGGAACAAAACAGGGATGTCCACTTTCATCACTGCTATTCAGTATCATACTAAAGGTTTTAGCCAGAATCAGCAAGTAAAATGAATGAAAGGCACCCAAAATGTAAAGGAAGGGTAAAACTACCTTTAATTGCAGATGACATGACCTCATATATAGAAAATTCTAAATAATCCACCAAAAAATCTACTAGAGTTAATAAACAAATTAAGTAAAGCTGCAGGATACAAGATTAACATGCAAAATTCAGTTGTATTCCATACAAGAGCAAGAAACAATCTGAAAAGGAAATTTTAGAAATTTCATTTGTAATCATACCAAAAAATACTTAGCAATAAATATAACAAAATATAAGACTTGTACACTGAAACTACGAATCATTGCTAAAAGAAAAATTAAAGAAAACCTGAAAAAGTGCAAAGACATTCCATGTTCATGGATTGGTAGACTTAATATTTAAGTTAGGATGGTAATATTCTCCAGAACCAATTTATAGATTCAATAAAACCACCATAAAAATCCCAACAGCATTCTGTGTGGATGGGAAAGTAGATTCTAAAATTCTCATGGAATTCCAAGGGACCCTAAATAATAATTTTCAAAATGAAAAAAAAGATGAACAAATACTTCCCAATTTCAAAACGCACTAGAAAGCTATAGTATTCATAAACAGCATGGTACTCTCAGAAGGATAAACATATAGATGAATGTACAGGACTGAGAGTCCAGAAATAAACCCTACATCTATGGTTATTTGATTTTTGATAAGGATGCCAAAGCATTCATTGAGGATAGTATCTTTAACAAACAGTGCTAGGAAAACTAAATAGCCACATACAAAATAATGTACTTGGACCCCTGCCAGAAACCATATACAGATATTAACACAAAAAGGATCAAAAGCTTAAATATAAGAGCTAAAATTCCCAGAAGAAAACATAGGAGTAAATCTTCATGACCTAAGTTTAGGAAATAGATCTTAGACATATAAGCACAAACATCTAAAGAAAAAATTAACTAGGCTTCATCAAAATTTAAAACTTCTGTACATTAACACACTATGAAGAAAGTGAAAAGACAATATAGGGAATGGGAGAAAATATTTGCAAATCACATAGGGTCTAATATCTAGGATATATAAAGGGTCTAATATCTAGGATATATAAAGAACTCATATCTCAACAACAGAAAGGCAAAAAATCCATTAAAAAGAAAACTGGGCAATGGATTTGAACAGACATTTTTCCAAAAAAGGTAAACAAGTGGCTAATAAATACATAAAGAGATGCTCGGTATCATTAGTCATTAGGGAAATACAAATCAAAATGAGATACCACGTCAAAAGTGCCTATATCCACAATACATCAAAGGCTGGAACAAAGTTCTTGATGTGGCTGAGGTTCCATAGGAGATGTTCACTCGGACTCCTCTGAGCCATTTCCTACTTCACACCGTACTTCTTACATCCAGTTAACACATATAAAACCTTCTCTCATATAAAAACTAACTGATATCATGCTCGTCTGCCTCCCGACCCTACTCAAGACCTCTAGGACAAATATACACATGTAAACTTTCTTTCCCCGGAACAAACTGTAAGACATTACCAGGTGTTTTAGAAACACAAATGACAAAATATTGTGAGTGCAAAACATGAAATTCCAAAAGGAATGCTTCTTTACCTTTGCAAGTTCTCTTCTTAGTTCTTCCTGCTCCTCCTCCGATAGGGTCTCAGCGGCACGAATCGTGGCAATAACATCTTCTCCTTCCTCAGGTACTGAGTCTGTTCTCAGCAGACCTTGATGGGGATTTTTTAAAAAAAGTCTGTAAGGTATGAAAGCTAAGTCGAATTCTCCTTTAGGGGCTTCCACTGCCCCAGCCAGAATAAGCTAACTAGGTTAGATACACACACCACCTTTCTGCACCTTCAAGTCACCTGGCTTTTCCAGTAAAGAACAAAAGGCAAGTCTGAGCAAACTACTTTTAAAAACCACCAAATTACCTTCTACCAAAATATGAATTTAGAAAAAACAGCAGTCACTCAGTTTCTGGTTATTTCCTCAGTCACAATATAACTATATTCTGCAAAGCACAAGAGTTAAGGGGCCAATAATGGGGTCTTGCCAAGGCTTTAAATGCTGACCTAGTAAATCAGCATGACTAGTAATTCACACTGACCAAGGGAAAGAGTTTGTAAATGTCTTTAGCATCCTCTGCTAGTCAAATCCAACACTTAACCTCAGTGAAGCACTGAACAACAAACTCAATGCCTAAAGAAATTTTGTTCCATTTCTTTCTATTAGTGGAGGCAGAAGTGGCTTCCTGTAACTTTTTAAAAATATGTATCTTATCCGGATATCCTATTTAAACTCTCAGTGTATATATTCAAAGAAATGACCAACACCTACATTGAAGACCAGTGCCCTGGAACAGAGCCAAAGACAACCAGTATATCAGGAAGAACTGGGTATTTCTAGAGTGGCCAGGGAGGCACCTCCCTCTGCAACTCTCATCTCTTCTGCCCAACTGACCATGCACAAGGTTGGGCCAAGGCCAGTAAGGCCCAGACTCCAGTGCAAAACTTAAGGAAACACCAAAAAACTCAACATTTTAATGCAATGCTTTTTTTTTAATCAAACTTAATTCAAAGAATTAACCAACTTGGTAAAAATTACCAAAATTTAAATAGGCTCTCTAATGATGATTTCTCCTTTTGCCTCGGGCTCCAAAGTGGCTTTGCACGGCACTGTTCCTGATCTTGTCTTTGTTTAAATTTTAGTATTTTGTTCATCGTGAATTTAATTTTAATCTTTTAAAATATTGCATTAACATAGCATTTCTCTTGACTGCACAGCTTTTCGGTTCCCCCTTAAATTTTACACCTGAGGCAAGTGCTTTCCAGCCTCACTGCCTTTCCCTAGTCACATCCATTTTTGTCAGAGGTCTGGGTGTTCACAAGTTCCTCTGGCAACAGATTTTTCACATAGGGAACCAAGGGAAGCTCTCCTCTTCTTCCTGCCAGAGAGCATAACAGCGAGCGCTGTTGTTGCCTGCCACCTTCAAGTCCATTTCCGAGAAGTACCAGTTCAGCCATGGCAGCAGTGTGGCACCTGGCTCAAAGCAAGATGCTGGGCAGAAGGCAGACTTAACAGGAAGGCAGAGAGGAGGAGAGACAATAACCATGCTGTTCCACAGCAGCCAGCACCACAGCAAACCTATAAGGAGCATGCGAGTCAATGACTCAATGATGCAAGTGTATGTACATTGTGTGAGAAGACAAAGACACCTGCTACACGGTCTACTGTACATTAACTGCAAAAGGTAGTTACTAATTATAATAACAAGAATCACTAGCAATAACAGTACCAAAAGTTGACACAATTGTTTAAGACATCAAAGTAATACAAATACTAATAATTCAAAAACCACTTTTCAAAACCACAATTCAAAAACTGTTTGGAGTAGCAAACAGAATATGATTAAGCCCACTAATGCAGCGACAAGTGACAGGAATAATCAGTAGATGGAAAAGATCAATGGAAAATTGCTTCTGTGGGTCTCCTCTAAAATATCTTCAGACTATCCATGTAATATTCCTATGATAGAAATCTGATCACGCCACTCTCCAGTGATTAGTTCCCTTCAATCCTGTAGTTTAGCACACAGGCTTCACTGGTCCCATTCTTTGCTATCTGGCATTGGAACCTCTTACTCAACTCTAGTCAAATCAAAGCAGTCAAGGAACTACACCATGGACTATCAGAAACCACTCAGGGGGCCCGTGTGTGCATGCACACCTATCCCATATGCCACTTTACGTGATGAAGGAGCATGAGATTGAGGATGGGAGATGAGCACACAAGTAGCAACTATATAAGGCAATATAGTAAGAACCACACTAAAGTTCATTGTAAATATTATTTTTAATGTTTTGATGAAATTCTCCAACTAGAACAGGACCCGCCACACCAAAAAGCAAAACAAAACCCAAAACTCAGGTGCTACACCATGCCTTAAATAACAGAGACTCTTCCATGCATTTTAATAAATACGAATTCACAAATCTACTTAAAGAGAAAAATGAAATATCTGATTACTTATAATGCTTTATGCATAGCTGCCCATCCAAAAAGAAACTATTCAAGTATTTAGTTAGGCTACCAGGAGAAATAAATATCTCAGAAAAGGGGTCACGGGGTTGTCTGCACTTGGCTTAAGGACCTCCAAGATGACCCTGAGATTTTATATTGATTAAGAAAGTCAGCATTGCTTTTTCTATACCTGTAGGTGGCAGCAAATTATCAACATCAAAATTTTTATAATTAAATGACTTTATAACATCTTACTACATTGATAGACAGTGACCACAATAGAGGGGATGAGGACTTGATAATATGGGTGAATGTTGAGCCCCTGTATTCTGTATGTGAAACCATCATAAGATTGTAAATCAATGACACCTTAATTTAAAAAAAATTTTTTAAGGTGAGGTTTGTTAAGGATATCAACTGAGAAAAAAAAGAACATAAAGGAAAAACAGAATGGTAGGTACTGAAATCACCAGCAAACATGACAGTTACGGCTCAGGAAAATCCTTAATAACCATGCCACCACCACAGAGTGCATTCTGTTTATATCCAAATCTGAACTAAGCGGTTCAAATGCCATTTACATGCAACCAACCCTTCAGTGAGGTGGGCATCACCATTACCATTTACAGATGAGAACCTCAAGCTTACAGAAGTTAAGCAACTTGCTCATGGTAACATGCCTGAATACATGGTGGAGTTAAGATTTTGAACTTGCAGTTTAACTTCAAACCATTTGCTTCAAATCACTGACTTCGAAGTATAAATAAAGAGAAGAGGGGCTGAAGGTCACACTTGGAAGCTATCTAGACCCAATGACAAATAAGACTCTGTACAAAGTAAAAGAACCTGGTAGACTAGATCAAAAGCAATCTCTACATCATTTTCAAATGTACAGCTTCCCCAAACCCAGGACCCCAAAGTTTCTCTAGGTATTAACCCATTTCCCAAATGTTCAGTGAGAGTGCAGTATCTATTGTCTACCTTTTAGGAGAAGAGACATTAATTTCTCACTCAGAACACAAAAGTTAGGAAATGAGAATGTTTTAACATACAGATTACTTAAAACTATAAATTATCCAAAAAATCTGATTTGATCATTATTGTTAATGTTCCTCCTCAGCATCTGATAGAAAGATGTTTTAAAAGATGAGAAGGGAGACAAAATATAACTAAGTATTTACTGAGGTCTAATATACTAGCCAAGAAGACTTATATGGTATCTCAAAAAAAAAAAATCAATGACACCTTAATTTTAAAAAAATGTGGTCAAGACAAGATCATAGTAGATATGGGTAGACCCTAGTCTAATGACCCTAATTTTATAAGAAGGAAATGTAGACACAGAGATGCAGAGAGAGTATCGTGTAAAGATAGAGAGCACACAGAGAGAAGGCCATGTGATGCCGGAGACAGACTGGAGTGATCACCTGCAAACCAAGAATGCCCAGTGCCCCCAGCAATCCCAGAAGCCAGAAGCAGCAAGGAAGGATTTCCCCACAGGTGTCAGAAGGAGCATGGCTCTGCTGCACCTAGATTTTGTACTTCTAGCCTCCAGAACCAAGTCATAATATATTTCTGTTCTTTTAAGCCACTGTTTGTGGCACTTTGTTATGACAGCCCTAGGAAACTTAGCCCCAAACCTGTTTTAAAAAACAAAGCAATACTACCTAGTCTCTGGATTTGTATAATAATAGCTGAAAGGATAGTGAACATACAGTGTAGGTACACATTAGATGTTCAATAAGGATTGTTGCTACCCTACCTTTCCACATCTTCCCAGCCTTTCCAGTTACTGTCTCTCTCCTCTTCTCACAGGTCTCCCTCCCACTTCCCATCATTCTTCACCCCCAGCACCCGACTCCAACAATCAGGCACCTGCACCTCCTCCGCCCCTGAACTAGGGAGAGTTCTCAGTCATGATCTCATTGGCCATCTCCAGGGCATCTGGCACTGAACCACAGTCTCAAATCTCCGCTCCTCTCCCACCTCCCTGGTTTTCTTTCTTTCTTACCTAAGATGTGGCTCCATCTCACTCTCCCAGATGTCTCCTTCACACCTCCACTCCAATTCCCCCTCTCCTGCCTTAGTGTATTTCTTTCTTAGATTTCTGCCCTCAAAGCCCCCTGATGGTCTCTGGCCCCTCTGATCTATTCACCACCCTGCCACCAGAGTGAGCTTCTAGAGATGACTCTGACCCCAGCACTCCCCACCTCTAAAGAAAACTGTCTGCTCTTGACAGTCTGGAGAGCCGCCTGCCCCACCTTCCGCTACTGCCCTCGCTGCCCAGGCTCTCACCATGCCTTCCGACTTATAGCTTCTCTAGGGCAACACACTTCTTTTTAATTTATTTACTTAAGGAATGTGTGAACAACAACAACAAAATTAACTGCCTCCCATACATTTTTGCCCATTTAATTTTTTTTACTGTGGTAAAATATAAAACTTGCCATCCTAACTATTTTCAAGTGCACAATTAGTGATACTAATTATATTCACAATGTTGTACACTACCTTCACTATCTTCTTTCAAATTATGGAATACTGTTAGTGTTTTTTCTCTTTGTACATGTTAAATATTTTCTCTTCCTGAAGTCCCTTCCTTATTTTCAAGTCCCATTCATTTCCATAAATCAGTTTCAAGTATCTTCAGCTCTTGGAGGACTTCCCCATACTCCATGACCTGGTCTGGGTATATGTGCAATGCCTACTGTACTTAAAATATAGCCTGCTAGGTCAGGCAACCTCTGACCTTAGCACTGTGTTCCAATCCCATACTGGTACACAAATGCTCACAACCCTCTCTGAATAAATGAATTCATAGGAAAGTTGAATTAGAGGGAAAGATAAGAACCGAGTCTCCTTTCATTGTCTACCTTGTATCTTGAGCTTTTTATGTATTTCATTCTCACTTCATTGTTCTCACCAACAAAGGTTTTTCCATTTAAAACAAACACAAAATGCAATTTTTAAAAAAGAAGTATAACTTTGGTCTCATAATCTATCCAAAGACTGTTATATTTGGAGCAGGCCACCTACTTTCATGTTATAGAGAAAGTATGTACAAAGCCAAATGCACCATGATTATATCGATGGAGCAGAGAATAGAAATCAAAAAGAAAATAAAACAGAATTAGAAGAAGTACTCTGAGCTAAGGAATATCAGTTTGATTTATTTTTTCTGTGTTTTTACAGTTTCAAATATGACAGCATAAAACTAAAATGTCAGATTTTTAAATGGCTCCTGCTCCCATTTCCTGAAATCACTAGAAATAACCAAATGTTATGTACAAGGGATACATCTTTCTATATATGAGACAATTTAAGAATTATTCTACACAAATCACATTTGGGAAATTATTCTTGTAAGCATTCACTGAATGGGAGAGAAAATGCAACAAAGGACTTGGCTCAGCTTACTGAGCTGTCCAGAAACCACCAGGATGGAGTGGCATGTACAGGTCCTGACAGCGCAAAAAGAATCAACAAACTACCCCCATGCTGAAACCCTAGCCCTTGGCCAAAGGAAAGGTTACACCTCGAACGATTAACTTGTTCTATAATATCCATTAACAGAGAGGCTGACATAGTGAGATCACAAAAAAAAAAAAAAAAAAACACAAGAAAACACTGGCTTGAGAATTGAGAGATGAGCCCAAGTCCCGGTTTAAGCTAAACTTTGTTATTTGGGGACTTCACAACACCTCTCCTGGCCTCCGTGTTCACATTTGTAAAATGAATGAGCATGTGAACTAGTTCTTGCCAGTTTCACTTCACTCATTCATTCATCAAATATTTGTTGAGCCACAGATGACAGGCACTATTCCAGGTGCTGGGGGAAAACAGTGAACAAAAGACTAACATCCCCTAAGGGAGCTTATATTACAGATCTTGAAATTTACTATAAACCAGAGTTTTTCAGACTACGGGCTGTGAAATCCACTTAGCAGTACCAAATGAGCATTTAAAAAAGAAATGTAACAGTATCAAGTATCAGAGTACATGATAATGTAGGATACATCCTGTTTCATAGAACTCTGCTTCAGTTTTTGGTATTTGTATTTATGAGGGCTGTGGGTCAAGAAGTATAAGGCATTTCTGAATGTGGGTTGGTTGTACCAGAAGAGTTTTAAAATCCCTAATAAAAGACCTCTCTTTGTTCCACCATTCGCCCTCATCCTGTCCTCCTCTTAGAAGCTTCTTCAGAACATTCTGTCCATAGATGAAATCTCACTACTTTCTCATTTGCTCCATGATGGCATTTTGCATAAATATGAAAGAATATGTTTTCCAGGTCAGTGTTTCCAACCTTTCTGAGTAGGACTCCTTTTAACATCAGTTCATTTTGTGCACTGCCTGTCCGCTAGTTAAGAAAACACATAATGGTCAAAAGCCACATGAAGTTTTAAGTGCATTTATAATGTATCCATCCAAAGAGCTCCTACACCGAAACACAAGAGTACAAAAAACACACACAGATAATATTCACTCTATCTATGCCTCACACTTCTTTGTGCCTTGCTGGTGATTACTCTTCTAGATCCCCACTTTTATTTGGTTCATTTAGAGTCACCATGTTCTTACTAGGTGACAGCTTACAATGTGTTTCTGTGTCTTCATACTCTCTCCCCCTTTCTTCAGTTAAAGCAGACTAGATCTGAGCACTAGTGGGTACATAAATTTGTCTGTAGTTCTTGTTGATCACTTCCTTTTTTTTGTAACTTTGTTTTTAATCCCATGAGTCCAGACTGCTAGAGACTGCTATCAGGAATTGAGATAATTGTTTGAAATTTGCCTAGGGACATACCCAACCCTACCAACAGCTTTTGTTTTAACAGGCAGCAATTACTGCAACTAGTTGTGAAAAGGAGGTGAAACAGAGATACAAAGAGAGTGGAGGAGAACTAAAACAAGCAGTATAAATCCTCCTGGGAATCTTGAACCCTCGCACACTGATCACCAAGATCTACCTGAAGTCATGTAACTACAGCCCCAGCTTCCATGGCCCCTTGTCACTTAGGCATGACTCTGCCATTAGGCTAACTTCCCTCCAGTGTGTTGCTTTGGCCGCACTTCCTATACACAGGGTTTAGAAGTTAGGATGTAAGATGTCATCCTTTTAGGGGTCAGGCACCAGGGGAGGATCTGTTATACAGGTCCAAGGTGGGCCACAGAGACAGCAAACGAGAGGGCTTCCTGGCAATCTGGCTCCCCCAACATATCTAGCTGCTGCCTATGGGTTCCCAATTTCTGGGTACCAGCTCTAACCTGTTACTTTCATTTTTTCCCTTCCTGGAAATCCAAACTACACCTCTAAAAGTGGCTGCAATTGCAACCAAAAGTTAGAGGAATAACTCTGCTTTATGTAGCTCTCCGCTGTCAGCAAGTAAACCACCTAAACACTCACAGCTAGGTTGCATGCTGTATCCTTTACTATGTTCTAAATTACCCACTTCTGGAGCTTCAAAAGAGCAAAAAAGTGACCTATTCTTCATTAATAAGGAAAAAATTAACTTCTAGGATATCGCCTCCCCTTCTCAGGCAAGTTACAGAAGAGGCTGTTTAACTGTAACCCTCAGCTGTTAGCTGTAGCTGCCGAAACTGGCCTGATGTTGGCTAGGGCTGCTTCAGCACTTAGAGTGGAAGAGCCCCCACCGATGGTAATTCCTGGCTGCAGAACAATCTCATACCAGCGCACATGAGGGACTGCTTCCAAAGGTACAGCAACTAAGAGTTTTCCTTTTTAAGATCATCGCTTGCCTAGGTCAGTATTTCAGAACAAAATCCAAGGCCTTTATTAGCAGGACTTTGAGTTTAGTCAGTGCTTTAGACATGTACCCCTTGTTTTAGTAAAAGGCAAAATCTAGGGCCCTCATAAATTACACACAGGTGACCAGAAGCAAAGACCTTCATATTTCCCCTTTCTGGTTATCAGCTCAATGAACTCAAAAGTGATCGGAACTCTAATGCTCATATAAATAGTACTGCCTTTAAAATCTAAGACCACCCCCTCCTTTTTATATATATTCTAAATATGTAATGAAACATCTATCACTCTACTTGGAATCTATCACAGCTTTATTAACTAGTTTGAACACAGCAACTCCCTGGGACATCTTTACATTCATAATTTTAAAGCCAAACAAGCCCCAAGTTGTGTCCAGATTTTATTACAGCAAACTGAACTTTAGAAAATGCATAGTTACCACATTTCTGAAGAGTAGGTGATTCGGGTGGAGACAAATTTCCACTAGGAGACAAGTAAAGATAGCTTTTGTTCACTCCTGTATCAAAATCAAATGGGGACTGGTAGTCCTCATCAAAATCCATCTCTGTACAGTCCATTCCAGACAAAAGCAGAACACATGGTTTTACAGCCACCTAATACTCTTCAGTTGAGTGCTGTGCAGGCCATGTTCCCGTGAAACCTCACTGAAGAAATTAATCCCAGGGCTTGGAGCTCCGAGCCCCCTAGCCCAGGTGCGGCATCTCCTTCCCAGAACCTTCCCACGCGTGGCAGGCAGGGCTGTTTAATGAATGACTTATGCAGAGCAACCTCGGGCAGGGCTCTCTTCACCACCTGCTATTGATTCTGGTCAGCAACAAACACCCTGGGCGCAGGAGCGGAGCTTTCTCCAGTCAACAAGGGAGGGCCGGGCTTCGCAACATCGCCCAGATGTACAAACAGTTCAAGTGAACAGTAGATTCTGGCAGAATTACAAGGAACTGGAATTTTTTTTTTAACTGGTCAGCTGACCACAACTACACAAGGGCAGACTTAATCTTCTAGGACAAGGAAGGATTACCAGTCAATAATCTCCCACAAATGCCATCTGGATGATACTCTTTCCACCCTGGATTACAGTAGAGTTCTGAAGGCCAAGCTTCCTGGTTTAGCAATCAGCTTTCTATGTATAACTTGGTAGAGAAATAAAGCTGTATTTTCATTATCACTTTATCGCAAGTAATGTCTGGCCTAGTGCATTAAAAACTGCAATGTGACCTTTGTTCCTCTCTTCCTCTCTCTCCTGTCTCTTCTTTCCCTTTGTGCCTAAAATTAGAGTTCCTGTGGCTGGGATTCTCACCTGTCCCTGGTTGACTAGCTCACTGCACACCTGTGGATAATACATGGCTGTTGACTCTATATATAAGAGCTCCACCGAGTGCTCTGGGCGCAACATGGTGGGGCAGGGCTGAAAGACAGCAGAAGAGCAGAGCAGAGGCTGGAGTGGTGGCAGCACTGAGGACAGAGACTGGGACGGCTCTACAGGCAGAGAGGCCCAGAGGCAGACACTGGCTTACTGCATGCAGACTCACTCTGAGTGAATGGGATTCTAGTGATGGACCTGCCACCGTGGAAATAAAGTTGGGTATAACCCTTTCACCCCAAGGACATTCTACTGTCATTTCTTCAGTCACACTGAATCCAGTGAACCTGCCTGGGGCTGAAACCCATTGGCAGGACACCCTTCCTCTCCCTCTACCTATCCCCTCACCCCTACATCTCTCTCTTGTCTCTCTTTCCTTTTCTGTAAAGATGGTGTTTTAGTTACATGATCTGCAAAGAGAAGACTCACCTCTAAAGGCAAAGCTCCCAGGTACTCCTGCACCTTTATTTAACTAAGGCCACACCTCTGCAGGTGCTGCAATAAATCTGTGTGCAAACACATAGGAAAAATGTGTTTTCCTTTGTAAGCATGCCCTGCAGAGTGACTGGGCCCCAGTTAGCTTGTAGAACACAACTGCTAAGTCACCCAATTAATTTCCTTTGACAGAAGTCTGTTAGCAGACCTTCCTATGTTAACCATTGCCTTTGCTCAAGGACTAGCACTTGAGTTTTTCTTGCCATTGTGCACATGGCTATCTACTGTTAAGGAGGCAAAATAAAGCTGACCCCTCCTTAGGTGGGCACTGGTCTGTCACTGCATAACAACAGAAAGGCAGCATTCTACCTCTTCAAATCTATCTGATAAAATGGAAACTCAAAATAGTCTCTCTGGATTGGAAGCAAGTATACAACCTAAAATATTTAAGAGAGTAAAAAAAAAACATGTTTCCAGTGTATAAAACATACTTGCACCAAGATATTCAACTTAACAGTTTTCTATTTTTTTCTATTATCTCCATGTTTGTACTCTATTTCTGGCAAATATTTCTCATAGTTTTTTTAAAGTTGAATTTTTAAACACACAAAAAAATCATTCTGCCCTTTTTCTAAGAGATACCAAAATTTGGGCAACAATAAATCCTGTTCATCCCATAGTTAGGATAAAGGGCATCTTTATTAATATTCCTTGAAAGAATGAACTGTCTTATTTCTTGACATCCATGGTATCTCACACTTCAATGGGACAAGCACCACAGTTATATATGTCCCTGGAACAAAGTGTAGGTAATGGGGTCCCTGGTCCTCTCTATATTCTCTGTGTTTGGTCACTAAATAACTGGTAGAAAAAATATTTCCCATATTTGTTTCTTCCTCCTAAAGTCACAGTGTTAGAAGGTGTTATGGACAGAAAGTTTGTGTGTCCCCTCAAAATTCCTATGTGAATGAACCCCTCACCCTAATATGGTGGTATGAGGAGGTGGGGCCTTTGGGAGTAATCACAGTCAAATAAGGCCATTAGGCAGGAGCCCTCATGATGGGATTAGTGTCCTCCTAAGAAGAGGAGGAGAGCTCTTTCCAGCTACATGTGAGGACACAGCAAGATGACAGTGTCTGGCAACCATGAAAAGGACTCTCACCTAGAATCCTATCAACCAGCATCTTGAACTTCCCAGCCTCCAGAACTGGGAAAATCAATGTCTGTTGTTATAACCATACAGTTTATGATAAGGTACTATAGTAGTGCAAACTGACAAGGACAGGATAATACTGATAATGCTGACAAAGACAAAAGATGGCACTGATCAACCACAAAAAACCCTGAATAGCCAAAGCAATCCAGAGAAGGAAGAATAAAGCAGGGGGCATCTCACTTCCCAACTTTAAGCTCTACTACAAAGCCACAGTAATCAAGACAATCTGGTACTGGCACAAGAACAGAGCCACAGACCAGTGGAACAGAACAGAGAGTCCAGATATTAACCCAAACATATATGGTCAATTAATATATGTTAAAGGAGCCATGGACATACAATGGGGAAATGACAGTCTCTTCACAGTTGGTGTTGGCAAAACTGGACAGCTACATGTAAGAGAATGAAACAGGATCACTGTCTAACCCCATACACAAAAGTAAATTCGAAATGGATCAAAGACCTCAATGTAAGTCATGAAACCATAAAACTCTTAGAAAAAAACATAGGCAAAAATCTCTTGGACATAAACATGAGCGACTTCTTCATGAACATAACTCCCTGGGCAAGGGAAACAAAAGCAAAAATGAACAAGTAGGACTATATCAAGCTGAAAAGCTTCTGTACAGCAAAGGACACCATCAACAGAACAAAAAGGCATCCTACAGTATGGGAGAATATATTCATAAATGACAGATCTGATAAAGTGTTGACATCCAAAATATATAAAAAGCTCACGCACCTCAACAAACAAAAAAAACAAATAATCCAATTAAAAAATGGACAGAGGAGCTGGGCAGACAGTTCTCCAAAGAAGAAATTCAGATGGCCAACAGGCACATGAAAAGATGCTCTACATCGCTACTTATCAGAGAAATGCAAATTAAAACCACAATGAGATATCACCTCACACCAGTAAGGATGGCTACCATCCAAAAGACAAACAACAACAAATACTGGTGAGGTTGTGGAGAAAGGGGAACCCTCCTACACTGCTGGTGGGAATGTAAACTAGTTCAACCATTGTGGAAAGCAGTATGGAGGTTCCTCAAAATGCTCAAAATAGAAATACCATTTGACCCAGGAATTCCACTTCTAGGAATTTACCCTAAGAATGCAGCAGCCCAGTTTGAAAAAGACAGATGCATCCCTCTGTTTATCACAGCATTATTTACAATAGCCAAGAAATGGAAGCAACCTAAGTGTGCATCAGTAGATGAATGGATAAAAAAGATGTGGTACATATACACAATGGAATATTACTCAGCCATAAGAAGAAAACAAATCCTACCATTTGCAACAACATGGATGGAGCTAGAAGGTATTATGCTCAGTGAAATAAGCCAAGCGGAGAAAGACAAATATCAAATGATATCACTCATATGTGGAATATAAGAACAAAGAAAAAACTGAAGGAACAAAACAGCAGCAGAATCACAGAACCCAACAATGGACTAACAGTTACCAAAGGCAAAGGAACTGGGGAGGATGGGTGGGAAGGGAGGGATAAGGGGGGGTGGGAAAATGGGGCATTACAATTAGCATGTTTAATGTGGGGGGGGCACAGGGAGGGCTGTGCAACACAGAGAAGACAAGTAGTGACTCTACAGTATCCTACTACGCTGATGGACAGTGACTGTAATGGGGTTTGTGGGGGGTACTAGGTGAAGGGCGGGAGCCTAGTAAACATAATGTTCCTCATGTAATTGTAGATTAATGGTACCAAAAAAAGAAAATTCCTTAAAATTCAAAAAAAAAAGCTAATGCAGTCATTACCTGCCTTACTTATAAATATGAGAATTTACAATTTAACTGATAACTGAAATTTTTACTCTGCTTGCTCAGGTACAATCTTAGGACTGTTACTTGACATCCTGTCTCTTTGAACCAACTATACTTTGCTAGTCAATTCTTTGTCAAAACATTCTAGCACATAAGAGAAGGCTGGCCTCCTGTGTACTCCTGAAGTAATGGCAGAGTGGCCCCTATGGATCATGTTAGTGTACCCTAAGCAGCCAAAGGTAGGAGCATCTTACCAAGGAGTTTTGTCTTATCTTTATGGCCAGTGCATGCACCCCCAGTAGCACTATACATAGACCCCTCAGTAACCCCCATGGGGAGAGAGGTAAAGGTATGGTAGACTAGACCTGGACAGGACCCCCTTTCTGACACAGTCCTATCACAGGACCACTCTCTTGCATGCATCCTACCTGATGGACAAGATTTGCCTGTGTTGGTGTCATTAAAATACATGTCTTATCACCCTTAAGGTTAATCTTCCCTAATGTCTTCATGGATTGGGCACACACCCAGTGCCAAGACTGGGAAGGGGGAGAAGGAGAGAGACAGGTAAAGAATGAAGCAGAAGCATGTGAGTCCTTCCATTCAGCTACCCAAGGCCTCCAGTTATTAAATATACAAATTCTTACTCTGTTTCACTTACAATTAAGAGTTGGATTTTATCATTTCATTAGAAAAAGTCCTACAGTACTTACTTTAAAACCACTTCCCACTATTATCCCACCATGTTTCAGTCAAACTTAATTTTCCTGTTTGTTGAACACATCCTGTCTTAACCTTGGACAATTTTCTCAAACTAGAGTCTCCTTTTCCTATATTGTTACCTGTCACACTCCTATCCACTTATCAAGCTCAACTTTATAAGTCACATGAGTGGCATACACACAAGGGATGTTCATTTTAGTGCCATCTAAAATAAAAAAAGTAATACAAATGCATACTAGAAGTGGATCATTTACATGCCAAACA